CAAATCTTGCTTTTCCAGCAGACTGCTGCTTGGTGCTGCCTGTTCTCAGYAGCCCCCAAAGCATCCTCAGCTTGGTTTAAAGGACAAGGCCAACTGGCAGAATCCCCTGTCAGTTGGGTGTTTTCACTGAAGAAGTGCCTGTTTTGTATTTAACCTGAACCTGTTAACTGCAAACACCATGAAAATACCAGGCTGTCATGCATTGCTGGTTGATGTTGCTATGCACAGATGAAAGCTTTTTTTGATTTTGTTCAATGTGTTAATACCTGGCTTGGCAAATGTCAAGGGCCCCTCTTTAGCCCATGAGTCCTTATTCCATTTCCCTATTGGAACCTTTTAGGGCAAAAGGACTTGGTTAACTCAGGTGACAGACTTTCCTGCAAGGGAAAATAATGGCTGGAATTTTGCATTTATTCCTATGATTTTCACCTGCTTTAACTAAAAATAGCCAGTGTTCATTTTTAACCTGTTCCTGGCATTTCTGTGTAAGGTAAATTTGAGTCAGTAGAAGTGCCTGTGATTTTTCAGCACTACATGATACAAGGGACTCACATTTGGGGGGATGTTTCTTCCATGTTCCTCTTGAAGGTTCTCAAGTAATGTGTGTGTAACTTGCAGGGTGATAAGATCGACAGACGGGTATGTATTTTTTGGCACAGCTTGGGCATTTTCCTGCCAAAAGCAGGSCTTTCCCTCTTGTCTGGAGTCTGCTGGGGAGTTTTCCTTTAACTGCTTTTTGATGTGTTTCCACTCACAGCTTTGTGTTGCAGTGGTTTGGGTTTTCCCTGGCATAACAAACTTTTGGGGCCTCAGGGGAACCTCTGGAGGTGCTCCCCAAAACTATGGGATATGTATCTTGGGCAGCATGGGTGCTTTCTGTCTAGGGGGGCACACTAATGGACCATCTGCTCACATAATGGGTGTGATTTCTTCCAAGGAAAATCAAAACCATTAGCAGTAGCATTTTCTGAATGGCCTGAAGCMAACAGCTGCTAGGGTCAGAAGAATCWCAGAATAAGCTGAGTGGGAMGGGACCCACAAGGATGGAGCCCAACTCTTAGTCCTGCCCTAAAGTCACATCCTGAGACTGAGAGCATTGGCCAAACCCTTGTTAAACTGTGCCAGGCTTAGTGCTGTGAGCACTGCCCTGGGGAGGCAGGATGTGCCTCACACTGGCAGTGGATCTGTTCAGCTTTGTATGGCTCAGTTTCCCTGGCTGGAATATCCACAATGATTCTGGGTTCAGCTGTCAGAACCACTGACAACAGACCATCATTAACAGATACCATCAGTACAGCTATTTACACTGTGATGCASTAGCATTTCACTTTGGGGAATAGAGACCCTGAAGAAGTGGTATTCAGGTATATCTTATTCCTTCTTTCAAAGGGATTTGATGTATGTTCCTTCAAGTCACCCTTGTATCAAAAATGCAGAACTAACACATTGGTTTTATAGTGGTGCTGATTTGCATTGAGTCATGTTTCACATCTGTGTTGCTTGCTGGTTTGCTCTGAAAACATTTCAACATGAATGGTTTAATCCTTGTTTTATCCAAGTGTTMAAGCTGTTCAGTACAACTAACGCAGGGGTGTTTTGAGAGATGTGACTTGTGGTTTGTAAAATGGTGAGGTGGAAGTAGGTGAGTTCTGCTCAAATACAGCTTGAGTTTTGTATTGTGATTCTCTCTGTGGAAAGGTGATGATGGGGGTGTTTATTTTTTCCAGGGCAGCAAAGTACAGACCAGAGTTGGACTGCTGATGTTGCTTTGTACTTGGCTGAGCAACTGCTCCATTGCTGTCACCCACTTCCTTCACAATCCAGCCAATGTTCCTTTTGTATCCTTTGCCTGCTTGCCGAGTAGAACCCTTGCTTGGACATGACTTGGATTGTTCATGTTGGAGTGAAATGTTTGTCTAGATCAGTTTACAGGGATTCTGCAGAACAGCAAAGATAATGCCTTGGGCCAAGAGCCAAAAGCAGCCTTTTGTAGGGAGTGCTCTGTGTACACTGACCTGTGTGTAGGATGCACAGAGAACAGTGCAGTGGAAATCTGGGTCTGCCAGCCAAGTGTCCTTTGAATGCAATAAGCCTGGGGGTATTTCAGTGTGAATTAAGCTGACACTCAAGGAGCAGAAAGAATGCTCTGCACTTCTGTTAATTTTTGTGCTTGTTTTTCGGGAAAAAAATTAGGTACACAAGCACATAAAGCTGAACTGGCACCTTATCTACACTGCGGGTGTGTTTTGGAACAAGTAAATCTCTCAGGTTCAACAGACAGTAGTGAGAAATTTATGGGAAACCACTGGTTACCCAAGTTCTTCCAAACAGTGAACTGAACAMGGGTTTTGTCAGCTCTTAACAAAGCTGGAGTTTATGTGTGTAAATAAAAGGGAATGTATACAGGGAGAAGTGTTSCATGTGATTATGAAATATCTCCAATATCCTTATCAAGAGTTGCAGCTCACAGGGCAGATAGCTGAAAACCTTGGAGAAGAGGAGCAGCTTGTCCAAGGCCTGTGTGCACTTTTGCTGGGCATTTCCATCTACTACAATGACAATTCYCTTGAGAACTACAGGAAGTGAGTATGACAGAGAAATAGCAGGGCCATAGGAAAAGGTCCTGTGAAAGGTGGATGTGCTTTAAGAGGCTTTTAAAAGTGGGACAGCAGTGGGGTTAAGACTTGAGACACTTTGTAAGAGCAGAACCCAGATAGAGAATTGTGGGAATTATGGGTGAATGTCTTGTCCAGTTGTTGCACTGTCACTGATTTGTCTCTTCCTTGTAGAGAGAAACTGAAGCAGCTGATTGAGAAGAGGATTGGCAAAGAGAACTTTGTTGAGAAGCTTGGCTTCATTAGCAAACATGAACTTTATTCCAGAGCTGCTCAGAAACCACAGCCTAGTTTCTCTAGCCCAGACCACATGATGTTTGACCACGAATTTACCAAGCTGGTTAAGGAATTGGAAGGTGAGATGTTTCATTTCTCTAGTTTTTGTCATAAACTCATGGCTGAGGTACCAAACACAGAGTGTCACCCTCTTGAAGGTGATGGCACTAAAATTCTGGTAATAGCTGGAAGTAAGCGTGGACTCAAGTTGCACTTTAGGTGCTCAGTAAATATACTTAACTGCATTACCTGATATTCTTAGGTGAAATGATTATTAATAGATTCTGGGAGTTACCACACTGCCCAAGTGTTCACTGAACTCACATGGAARCTCAAGTAYTGAGCACATGCAATGGTCATAGAARCTTCATTAGYTGAAGTAYRTAATTCAGATATTTGCTGTTTCTAATTGATAAAATAATTGTTAAAAAAGGTGGATCCTGAAATTTTTGGCTTGTTGGGAAATGGACACTTTCTTCAGYCTGTGCTTCACAGATTGTCATCATCCCTTACACTGACTGGTGTCCTGTTTATTAATATTGCTCTAAACTTAAATCAGTCTAGAGACAAAGAGAACCTTAAAGTAGCAATGGTGTAGATGGATTTGTCCAAGCAGTTTCATCTGCATGTTGCCCTTGAAGACCCAAGTATTTCACTGATTTGCAAAATGACTTGGGTTGCAGCTGTAGTGGAGCCATAGTGCAAGTAAAACACAGCTTTGATCAAAAGTACTCCAAACCCCCATTTACTGATCTGAAACCAAGTGAAGCAGTGAATGTGCCAACTGCAGTAAAATCACCATTGCTATTCAACCTTGGTGACAATCCCTTTTTTCATGTGCAGGCTGAGTTTCTAATGCTATGAACTCAAGCTGTGAGGCTGTGAGACTGTTTTGAGGACARAGATGGGAAGTGGGCTCTAATGACAGAAACTGTTTTGGACAGGTGTCATAAGCAAAGCAATTTACAAGTCCAGTGAGGAAGACAAAAAGGAAGAGGAGGTCAAGAAGACACTGGAACAGCATGACAACATTGTGACTCACTACAAAAAAGTCATTAGAGAGCAGGTARGAGGGAGCTGCACCATGAATGTGCTTCTAAAATCTGTTTGTTTTGTCTTTTGGAGGCACTGTGGTGCACTGTGATCCCCTGTGTTCCAAAACAAGTAACAAGGAATCTAGCAATACAGAAATGCTTCTAACAACATTTACATCAAGGTTCAACTGAAATGTCAGTGTTTAGACTGCTGGTTAAGTTATTTTAATGCTCTTACCTGTCTTGGAGTGTTTCTTATCAAATGAGTAACTGGAGAACTCACAGCTCTTAGAGATGCACTTCTTAGTTCTGTGCTTTCACGTTCCAAAGCTGCCAAATGAAATGGGGCTGAATGAAGAAATGGTTTGTTGGTGAARTTTGGATATACCTGCTGGCATTGGACTCTCAGAACCTTTTTCCAGTGGTAGTTGATTCGTGTGGTTGCTGCAGCTTACATGGAGCAACAAAGAATCTTAAACTGCTAATGGGAAACCGAAGCAGATATTTTAAGATATCAGAATGTGGGGTACATGAGGCATTAGGGGGACTTGGGAACTACCAGAGGCTTTACTGAACATATGATGTGTGTAGTTAACATTTCTTTAGTCTCTTGAAGCAGTAGACTAAACAAATGCAGGCTTTAGTGTGCTAGATAAAACACAGCACACTGTGGGGCAGCACACTGCCCCATTTCCCTTTCTCCTCCTGTTGTTTGTGCCAGGCTGCTGCTGTCTCTCCCCAGTGTTTTTCCTGGGCATGGCTATCTCAGTTTGCAGGGGCTTTCTGTTCATCTGTCCCAGATAGCACCAAGTGCTGGAGCTCAGGGTTTATTGCTTTCATTCACCTTCCTGACAGAATTGCATTCAACAGTTACTGATATCAGTGCCTTTTTGCCTTTCCCAGGACCAGGAGCTTGAAGAACTAAAACAACGAGTCAACACTTTAACATCTCAAAACGAACAGCTCCAGGCTACAGTCACACAGCAAGTGTCCCAGATCCAACAGCATAAGGACCAGTACAATCTCCTGAAAGTCCAGCTAGGTAGGCTTCATGAGTTACAGTGGGAAATGATCTGCTTGTGCAAAGATTGGATTGCTGGTGAGCTGCAGCAGAGCTCCAGCAGACAGCCTTGTGGGTGTAAGAGCTCATACCTGCTGAGAGAGGCTGCTTCAGCCTTGGCTAAAGTTAATCCAAACACTCACTGCCTGTTCAGCTTGAGAACATGAGCTGAGTGTGCTGAAGTTTGGGTCTGGAGTGCAAGTGTGAACTGGGGAAGRTGGCATGGCAGATGTGCAAGATGAAGCCTGTTACTGTCACTAGAGAAATKGCTGATTTAATGTGGAAATCAGAGCAGTATGTTCTTATCCCAAGGTCCAAATGCCTAATTAAGCTGGATATGACATGATTTAAAAAMAAACAAACAAACCTGCCTTCAATTCTCTTCAGAATTTGTCCATGCTGCTACTTTGGAGGAAGTCAATGGCTGAAGCAGCAAGCAGCATCCATACCTGAAGGAATAGCAAATGAGAGCTGTCATTATTTATTCATTTTTTGTGTAGAGAATGCTTAAGTGCTGTTCTTTGCTCCTTTGGTTAGAATGAGAATGGCTGGTGGGGCAAGAGCAGGATGGTTCACAAGTACTTTGATTCACTAGCCAACAGCTCGTGTTGGAGCTGTGTTACAGAATTCTTGGTTCACCTTCCTTGTAAACTCCTGCTGTTTAGGAAAGGACACCCAGCATCATAATTCCCATGGTGACACATTGCAGATGAATGGCATTCAGACAGAAGAAGTCAGCAAATTGAAAGAGGAGTTGGAAGAGTGGAAAAACAAGCATGAGCTGCTGCAAGGGCAGTTAAGGGAAAAGGATTCTGTGCTAGAAAAATTGGTAAGTGCTGGATCCAGCTGCCAGGTGCTGGTTTTAGGTTTAACTTGCCTTAAGCTGTGCCTGTSCTCATTGTGGTGGCAGCCAAGCCATCCTGCCCAATTGCATGGTGGAATTAGGCAATCTGGTGGGAGATGGTTGAGCAGACTGCTCCACACTGTTGCCAARAATTGTGCACTTGTGGAATCAGTGCTTTTAGGCTGTTTTCAAAGGGTGGGGTGACAATGGTAGGATCTCCTAGAGCTGAGTGCATTGTCCCATTGCTGCAGGTGGCACTGCTGTGTTTCTTTGGTGCACATCTCCTGTGTCTGCACTGGTGGAAGGCACTTCTGCACCCACTCAGCACACARTGCAGCTGCTCTCATTTTATCACAGAGCTTGCATTTTATCAGCATTGAGAAAATGCATTTTATCAGGGCATTGCTTAGCCTGCTTGTGGCTTCTGTGCTGCAAACTGTGCTAATGCAAGAACAGCTAGCTGTTTTCCTGACAACATGACTCCATTTAGAATTTTAGCCCTAAGGCTGATGTTTTCCTGTTGTTCTTACAGAACTCTTCCCAGCTGGAAATGGCCACTACAGAGCAGTCTTCACAGACCAGCAGATCTGGTGSCTTGGAGCACAGTAATGAGCTACAGAAGGTGAACTTGGGCTATTTGAGTAGCTTGGGATGGAAAGGGAATTTTCCATTTCAAGGAGGAGCATTGATTCCTGAATGTGTTGCTGTTTTTCATCAGGTATCCTTGTGATGAGGGTCCTTATCTTGGAGCATTAAGGTTATGCATCTAAAAATCAATCAGTTGTTTTCACTAAGCAGGTTTGAGSCAGCAGAAGACACTTGAACTGAGTGTAAAATGCATTTAACCAGTGCAAAACATAAGTTTGAATGTTGATATGGAAGTTTCCATAGATGTACAGCACAGAATAAGTTTTAAATAACTGGAGATTGAGTTCTTTAAGGCAGCTGTTGCTCAGCAAATACCTGGCAGTTTCTCTGGTGGGCATTGCACAGAAAAGGCTTTGTAAGAGCAGGGTGTTGAGTGGTGCATKTTGCTGTCCAGCTTTGTCATTCAAAAAGGACATTCATTTGACAGCTTTGTCAGGGGAAGAGCTCTTGTGGTCCCATGAGAGGCAGCTGTCCTGTTATTTCCTAGTGTGAAGCAGTTAGTCTGGGAGTGTTTAACCTCAGGAAAGCGTAATGTGAATATCTTGTTTTATCAAATGAATTGAAGAGTTTTGTCTCTGTTTCCCTAAGGAGTTGGAAATGCTCAGAAGTCAGATACAACTGCAGTCTGCGGAGATCTCGAAGCTTCAGATGGAGAATCAAAAGCTACAGGTAATGGTACCAGTGAAKAAGTTTCTTTTTATCTATGGGAACTGATTCTTCAAGACTTGACTTCCTGCTGCTCTCTATAGCTACTTCCCTAAACCAGGCTTGTCTTGAGGTGCACACATCAGGAGTGATTTCAAATCAAGTAAATTGAGTTACCCAGACAAAAACCCCTCATGAGCACAGAGGAGACTTTCAGTCAAATTAGTGCTCTCTGATGGCACTGGTGCTCAGTGTTTTTAAACAATCATCAGCTGTTGGGTGTTCAAGCCTCCACTCAATTAAAGGAAATTAAAGGTAACAGTCTTTGTGAGGCACAACTGTGTGATGTCATACAGGTGAAGGAGATGATGGTTTTTACAACCAGTTGATACTGATTTCAAAGTTGATGTACAGTGAAGGGCAAATTGTAGGTGCATCTGTCTCTGCAGGCCTCCAAATGCTGCAGGTTTTTATAGCTGCATGCTGAACTTGTGGCTAAATAAATGGGACTGTGTTCAAAACTAATAAGSAGCTTTAGGAAGGGAATGTTGGGCTGAAGAACCTGAACAAGTTTTCTGCAATGTTGCAGACACTTGCACAGCAGAGCTKAGCAGTGAAGCTGCAGGAACACAGATCACACCAACAGCTGACACCCAAATGTTGAATGTACTCCTGGTGAGAGGCAGCTCAGCTGCTCTGCCAATGATGCCTTTGCAGTGTTGTGCTCATGAGACACAGGAATGTCCCCATGTCCCAGCAGCTGCCAGGCCACCCCACAGCCATCCCACATCCTGCTGCCTCCCTGGCCTGCAGACTGCCTTAGAGTGCTCAGTTCAACAGGCAATTGTCTCAAATCTGTGCTGTGTGGCAGTTGTAGCTGACAGGCAGCTACCACAGTATAAAAAAATTATGTAGGGCTGACTGAGATGAAACTGTTGCTATTTTTAGTGRTCTTATGCAAAGAATTGGCTCTTCAGCCTAATAGACTTCTGTGGCACTTCAGMAGTGTCAGAGTGAAGGTGGATTGCCTGTACTAGGCTTTGCTTAGAAAAAACCTAGAAGTCTGAAAAAAAAGGTTTCACCTTGTGCTCTTGGTGTGTCCATGTGTCTGCAAGAGTGAGACTCCAGGAGGCACAGACCTGTGACTGATGCCTTGCAGCATGGGGTGTGTGTAATCACCATATTTAGCTATGCTCTAAGAAGCAAATAGATAGACTTTAGAAAAAATGTTGTGTCATGTCTCAGCTGTCTGAGATGTGCAGCACTGACAGTGAACTCCTTGTCTACAGAACACAACTGCAGATCCCGTGGCAGGAGACAGTGGTGCAACAGCAGCAGCCAGCTCTGAACTGGAGGGACGSCTGGAGCAAGAAATAAAAGAATTGAAGGTTGGTAGTGGCTGAGCACCACAGCAAGCCTTTGGACACTCAGCCTTTGATTGGGAGCTTCTCCAATAGCCAAGGCTCAGTGCAAGTGCTTTGCTCAGCATGCTTAGTGTTCAGGCTCTGGAAAGCAAGCTGGGTGTCTCCTTTATTTCTCACTTGGAMAATGACAACTTGTGTGCCTTTAAGCAGTTGGTAAGGACAGTCTGGGATATGCTTTACCCTGACATGGGCAGTGCAGGTGGACTGGGAGAAGGTAACACTGTTCATTTAGTTCCTATTTACTCCAGGTTGGTAATAGTTTGGGTATGGATGTTCAGGTGTGTGTGGGAACCAGCAGTGGGTTGGAGCTGTGAGAGTGGGGGTATGGAATGTGTTTGTAGGATGTGGGTTTTCAGCTTTTCCTGTGCTTGTGTTGTACCTGCTGTGGGATTTTCCTGTTGCCAGAGTGCAGTCCAAGCCCTTTCTGAGGAGAAGGAATCCCTGAAGCAGCACCTGGACTCAGCCAGCAGTACGGTTGCTATACTGCAAGATGAGAAAAGCAAACTGCAGCGAGAAGTTGCGGAATCCAAGAAAGAACAGGACGATCTGCTGGTGCTTCTGGCTGACCAGGATCAGAAAATATCTGCACTGAAGATCAAATTGAAGGACCTTGGTGTACCGGTAAGTGMAGGGATGGATCCAGTGAGTTCTTGGGTCTGAGGCAGCTCTGGGCATGGCAATATTTGATCCAACACCTCTGTTGAGGCCCATTTCTATCAGTTAAATCTATCAGAGTTACTTTTTAACTCATTTTGGTAGCCATCAATGAAAGATGTCCACTGCCTGTTGTCCCCAGTAATGAGCCTTCTTCAGCAGAGAAGTAAAGGACTGTGGACATTACARGATGACAGTTGAATTTAATAAACATTAATTGATGTGGCATTGTAGCTTTAGGTTATCTTTACGCTTATTTGCACTCAGCATTTGTCTTCCTTTCAAAAGGCTGGATCAGAATAAGGGGTATTACTGCTCACAACAGAACTTGTATTAATTTCAGGTTGAAGATGAAGATGATACTGAATCTGGAGATCAGGGGGATGAAGATGAGGATGGGGATGAAGAGGAGCAAGACTAGGATGCTTGTTGTGTGTTACCATGAGAACTAGACTGCCTTGYTTTTGGGGAAAAATCTATTACTGGTATGCAAAGGAGAACATCTGCTCATGGGAAGCAGATGGGGAAATGACAACCATGGGCCTAGTTACAAGTTACTCAAGTGTTGGCAAATTGTTTGTGCTAGGTAAAGCAAACAAAAAAATCACAGTTTTGGTTCTACATGAATATCCCAAGTTGTATTGTTTAGAAGTTGCTTCGGACACTGTTTAAAGCAGGGGATGACAATGTTGCTGCCTTGCTTCATTGTCATTGACAATCCTGTGCATTTGTCTATGGTTTTAACTTTCTTGAGGTCTTAATATAAAGAAATCCCAAAGTATTTAGTTTAACATCTGTCACACATAAAGCTGAACTGGCACTGCATGGAGCTGCAGTGGAGGCAGAAGGGTGGGTGGCCTGTGCCAGCCTGGGGGTGCCCATGACTCTCAGCCAGTGTGTGCCTGGCACTGCCCTGGTGCACTCACAWCCTCCTGGGGCTCTGCTCATGAAATGGAAGAGTTTGCATTGAAAGCTGTGCAAGAAATGGAGCCTATGGGTGAAGAATTGCTGTGGAAAACAAAGACCAGTACACTCTGAGATTTACTGTGCTACTGCGTCAGCAGAAATAGAAATTAAAATCTTATTGACTACTTCAGTAAGGAAATGAAAACTACTCTGATTTATATAACTTATTGGCTCTTTATGAGTAAATAAAAGATAAAATTTTAAAAGAAAACTGAGAATGGTAAATGCATCAAATTCTTTTTTTTGGTAATAAAGAGAATATGTCTACTTAGTCCTCATTTAATTCTCTTGTCCTGATTTAAAAACATACATTATMATATAAGCATCTAAAATCTGTCTACTTTGGCAGATTAAGGTAATCATACACCACATGCTGAGGCTCTCACCACATGAGTAGAAAGGAGTGGGGGTTCATTTTTTGTTTTTTGGAACTCTGCAGCTTTCATTTTTCAATCAACAGGTGATTTGAAGAAGCCCAGGACTGGCAGCCAGACCTGGACACTGGTGCTCCTCCCAAAACATGGCCTGCTGCAATGTGCATTTTATTGCCATTGTCTGCAGTGTTATGCTTAGGAAATCCTTCCTTTTGGATGCAACTTCAAAATCTTTAAAATTGCAAGAAAWGAAGGAGGAGATAAGTAGGTGAGGTAGGAAGTGCAGGAGACAGACAAACTGGTTACAAACAGGTTCTAAAAAGCCTGTTCAAAGTGCCTTTCCCAATTAGCAAACCAGTTTGGTGGATTATTTTATTGCACCATCCTGTCTTCCTGCTGGGAGCAGACGTGTCTGGGGCTAACTCTGTTACTGTCAAATGGTGGCCTTTGCCCAGGAGATATTCACTTGTCTGCATTCTTGGCTGCCATGAAAATGATTAATTTTTGGAATCTTTTCTTGGCCCATCATGACTGGGACACCACAAACAGGTGGAGTCCAGAGCTGGGCCCTTATACACCCTATCCAGAGCAGGCATTGACAATCCTGTGCATTTCTCTATGCTTTTAACTTTGTTGAGCTCTTCTGTAATTAAATACAAAAGTCCTTGGTTTAACCTCTGTCACAGGGAGTCTTTCCCCCTGCCCTCAGCATGGAGCTCCAGTGTAGTTTGTGCAGTGCCCATCCCTTCATGTCCACCCTTTCCATGATGGCTTTCCAGCACAAGTCACATGCTGCCTGGTCTGAACGTGCCAAGGCTTTGTCATTTCTTTAAGACAGGTGCTGCACTATTTTTGGAGCAGTTTGCAAAATACAGATTTCAGGGAAAAGCAAAAGCAGCCTCACCTGTGTTACCCGACTTGGCTTATCAACCTCTGCCATCTGCTGGTCTGTGAGCTCAAAAACTGCCCAACCCTCTCCATTTGGGTGAAGTTTTAACTAGCATTTATTTTCATCAGTGTTCAGCAGAGCATACAAGCATAAGGGATATTTCTTTTTTGTGAATACTTTAGTAGAAATACTGTCTCCCTTTATTGAAACTATAGGAAGGAGTGGAAGTTTGAATGAGGAGAGATTGGAGACTGATTAAGGGATGAAACTGGGTGCCATGCCATCAGACTCTGGTCTCTGGCACTCAGGTGGAACTGGGTTTCACAATAACCCAGTCTCTGTGGCACTCAGGTGGAACTGGGTGCCACAATAACCCAGTCTCCATGGCACTCAGGTGGAACTGGGTGCCACAATAACCCAGTCTCTGTGGCACTCAGGTGGAACTGGGTGCCATGCATTAACCCAGGTGGAACTGGGTGCCATGCAATCACACCCCAGTCTCTGTAGCACTCAGGTCACTTCTACCAGAAACCAATAACTTTATGATACTGTTCTTGATAAAGGMTATTCTACTGGGAGCAAATGGTGATGCAATGGCTTTGAACCCTGAGGCTGAGGTGAAGGTCAGGCCAAGGCCAAAAATCCCATGGGTGTAGTGTTGTGCCTCGAGGATGAAAGTGTCACTGCTGGCCAAGGAGGGGACATTCAGGGGTCATTGAAGCTGATGGAGRGCAGCACGTATTGTACCAGGAGCAGTGTAACAAACGCCAGGTCYTTGACAAAGCCGTGCTCCAGGGTTAGTGTTACAGACTGGCCTCGGGACAGCAAGTGACAGCACCAAGAGAAATGAATTCACCTCGGTCACTGGTGAGACCTGAGGCATGGGACAGCCCTGTCAGCCCCTGCAGCCACATCCTACCCCTGTGCTGACCTGGGCTGTCCAGCCTACGTGACAGATGGTGGGGACAGAGGTGCTGCCCAGCTCTTGCATGACTCTTTCATTTGTTTCTTGAACTCCCAGATCACCTGCTCATCCCCTGCAGACAGATTTATTGTCTATATCTTAACGTATATCTATGGATGTTACCTGAAAGACCTCACTCATTCTCTATCATTCTCTATCATTCTGTATCACCAGTCCAAGTTTCAGCCTGTCCTGTCTGTTCCTATGTCCTCTCTCGGAACAAAGGGTCTGCAGAGCTGCAATTTGCAGTTTAAGACACAAAGGAGGTGCACAGTGGGGCCAGRTTGCTGCACGCTCACATCTCTCACTCTACAGATTTTCTGCTTCCATGTGTAAATCCATTACACATCTAGTTTGGCACTGGGTAAAGAACTTATCGCCCAAAAGCACATATGGTTCAAAGGCAAAGGAGAAATGGGGCTTCACATTGAGAGGGGAATCCTGAGATGYACAGGTTTAAGTTTATTAAAATAAACCCTCCTGGCCCTCAGCTGGGGACAGATTCTCCGTGCTGAACACTCCCAATGACATTGAGTGTGAACTGAGGCCAGCCCAGCGGGTTTGCCACTCTCCTCTCGGTGCCTGGGGACATGTGTGCAGCTGGCAGCACAAAGACACCCGGGGATGATTGTTTAGTCYTTGTTTATCCTCTGCCATGGTTCTGTATCCATCCCCTGGGATCCTGCGGAAGGTTTGGCTGGCAGGGGTCCGAGCGCTGCAAATCTCGAGTGTGGCCACGAGATGTCACTGTTTACCCACAAATGAACCCAAACGGCCCAAGCCAAGCCGGCCCCACAGACCGGGAACTGGGGCTGGAACCAGTGAAACGCGGAATGGTTTCCAAGCAATGGCTCTGTGTCCAGCAGGGTCCCACTGTCATTCTGAGGAACACTTCGCTACCAGATGTCCGAGCTTCACCTGAGCTCACGTGTGATGTGCCACGGATGAACCAAACGCAGCCAGAATCCCAGAATGACAGACTCACAGAATTGGGAGCTTTGGGAGGTTTGAAGATGGCGTAGTTCAAGCCCCTGCCGAGGCAGGGTCACCTCGAGCGGGTCCCACAGAACACCCGCAGATTYGTGCGCTGTGTCTCCAAAGACACTTTGGTACCAGAGGGTGGCACTTGCAGAGCTSCACTGTGGCCACCAGATGTCAYKGTTTACCCACGGATGGACCAAGCTCGGCTGGAGCTGGAGGTTCGGAATTCCAGCCTTGTGGTGCCAGAAGTTATGGAGCACAAAGCTTTCTGGGCATGGTACTGTGCCCCTTTGGGCCTGTCCCAGTGATCCAGGAGAAGGTTTTGTTACCAAAGGTCATAGAGCTGGTTGAGTTCCACTATGGCCACCAGATGTCATGGTTTACCCACGGATGGACCAAGCTCGGCTAGAGCTGGAGGGTTGGAATTCCAGCCTTGTGGTGCCAGAAGTTATGGAGCACAAAGCTTTCTGGGCATGGTTCTGTGCCCCTGTGGGCCCGCCCCAGTGATCTGGGAGAAGGTTTTGCTACCAGAGGTCCTAGAGCGCGTTGAGCTCCACTGTGGCCACCAGATGTCATGGTTTACCCACGGATGGACCAAGCTCGGCTACAGCCGGAGTTTTGGCATTCCAGCCTTGTGGTGCCAGAAGTTATGGATCATAAAGTTTTCCGACACATGGTTCTGTGCCCCTCTGGGCCTGCCCCAGTGATCCGGGGGAAGGTTTTGCTACCAAAGATCATAGAGCTCGTTGAGTTCCACTGTGGCCACCAGATGTCAYGGTTTACCCACGGATGGACCAAASCCAGCCGCAGGTACAGGCTGCAATCCAAGCACTGCAGATGCGAGGTTACACGAGTGCAATGCTTTCCAAGCTAAGTAGATGGCTCTTTTTGGTTTTAAACGGAGCTGTCAGCAAGCAGCTATAATATAACTTACTCTCCTGCTAATTCTGGTAATTCTTGACCTAAAATAGTTCAGGCAGCTGGCTCAGCTGCAGGAGTTAAGTTTATTTAAAATTAAAGAAAAATATTTTCTGAGGTGCTTAAGCAAAGAGGACTTGTTAGGATGTCTGGTGATGAGCAGAAGGGCAAAGGGCTTGTGTGGCCTTCACAGGCACAAATGAGTACAGGAATATGGGGGCCTRCCAAGGGCCTGACTTACTGGACCTGCTCCTGTGCTAGGAGACACTTTGGGCCAGGGCAGCAAGCAAAGACAGCAGGKGTGGCATGGCAAGGTGGCAGCAGCAAGATGCTCTTCATGGAGGTTCTCTCTTGTTCCTTCTCTCTGGGTGACCCCAGAGGGTGCACAAAGGCAGGGACAGAGCAGGCTCTAACACAGTWATTTTAAGGGCAACTGCTTCTTTCTCACTAGAAATGAATGAGGTTGTGTCAGCCTGCCCAGGCATGTGCCAAAGGTAGAGTGGAAACGTGCCAGGCCCTCTCATCGCTCCAGGAAATCCGCTCGGATAAGAACAAACTTTCTCTGGTGTTTTTTTTTTTAAATCTCTTGGACACCTCACTCACTTTGTCATCAGCTGTCTGGAGCTGATGTTACCTGACACATTCTGTGCTCCCCTGGGAACGACAGGGGCACTTGTTGGGTGACTGCCCCAAGGCTTTTACTGTGAGCAGCCTCAGAGTACCCCATTACCACTGCCATTACCCAGCAGAGGTTCCCCTTCCCACTGAGGCAAACAGGCAGCCCTTGCCCTGCTTTATCGTGTGCTCTGCAAGTCCACAGCAGTGTCTGCCCTTAGTGCAGCCATGTCAGATGCCCTTTACCCAAAGCTGAGCACTGATTGTACACTCTGGGGCTGCTTGCATCATCCCTACAATGCCTGAGCTGGCCACTTGAAGTCGAGTGCCCCTGCTCTGCACAGAGTGTGTGAGGGCCTGAGCTGGGCCYGGTGCTCAGGGTGAAGTGCTCTGATGTCAATACTCTGGGACATGAGACAATTTCCCAGCAAAGTTTCACGTACACTTAAGTCACTCTGCCCTTTGCTCCAGACATCTCCTGCTTTGACCTCAAYGGAGAGCAGAAAAGAACAAATGACAAATAGTCCCTCCCCCATTTCTGCTCTTACTCTTGAAATGCAGCTTTTACCATGGGGTGGCTATGCAGAAATTTTCATCAACTCCTGTTTGTACAGTCCTGATGGTGCTCCCAGCTCCTCATCAGAAGACCAGAGTTCTGATTCAGCAGATAATGTGACTGTTATTCCTTCCTCCTTGTTGCTTGGAAATGCTTGGAAGCCAAAATATTTCCTTCTCAGGTACATGCCGTTTAACCTCTCTACAAATACCTGTCACACACTCGAGCTTCCATGCTCCTCCCTTTCTCTCTATTCGGTTTCCCTTTCTATACTSCCAAGGTAATTTTTGGCACAACACCACTGAGCAAACGTTCTGGCTCGCAGCAGGCAGAGGAAGGCCCAGACTCAGCTGCCAGGATGCATTGTGCCAGTTGCAGAAGTCAGGCCTCATTCCCCAGTTGTAAAACTCAAAATGAGTTCAGCATGCAGCAGGTGTGAATGGAGCCATGAACCAGCTGGCAAAGCACAGGACCTGGAAAAGGTACAAACCAAAGGCAGACAGGAAATCCCCCACCCAGCAGGACCTGGAAGCTGTCYACACCTGAAGGAAAAGTAACTGCATGATTTACCTTAGAGTGATTATTTGCAAATGACTGAATGTGAGTGACGTTCATTCTTAGTTCTACAGTGGCATTATCAAATGAGTGAAAACCCAGCCCTTGCTATCTCTTGCAACCCATTTCCTCTGAGGAGTAGGTTCTCTACTCTCTGAAAACCTGTTCCTGACCTCCTTGAATCACTTCATTATGACACAAGTGTCAAAGGAGCACTCCTGCCAGCCAGTCTTTATACAGCTGGATCACAGTCTCAGGGATGTGGAAAGGGAATTACATCCATCAGCTGCAAGGAAGGCTAAATTTATTGGTAAAACCAGACTGGGATGCCTCAAGGATTGCTGCTTACATAAAATGTGCTTGCTCTCACCTTTACTATTTCTCCACAGAGATCCAAAAATTGAAGAGATTTCAGGGCAACAGAAAGAGATGGGTATTTTACAGATAAGATAAACAATCTTAAATATGGACAGTACTCACAAGGAGGAGGCTGGCTGGGACAACAGTCCCTTCCTTTTCTCCCTGGCATGCCATTTCAGCAGGCCTGAATCTCTGCTTGAGCAGCAYACCTTTCCTGAAGCACACACCCCAAGCCCTTGGAGCAGGCAAKGTTTTATTTCCCTACTCCCACCTCTCCCCTGCCCTGGAATGCCCTCGTTAGTTCACAAYGGTTCCAGCCAACTCTGCATGTATTTATCTCACAGAAACCATCCATCGCTCACCTTTTGTACTTCATAGACCTTCCCCCATGTGGCACTGGCTCCATTCTGGCCTTGCTGTGTTAGGTGACTCCGTGTCCTGATGGAGACACTGCCATGGCTCCAGCTCCAGATCAGCACCAACACGCTCGGGTTAGGCCCTGCAACACAGGGGAAGGACAGTGTCTACACACTCATCATTCTCTCCTTTGGATTCACAGTTATGGGTTTGGGAAACTGCAATTCATTTCAGCTGTGTGCTGGCAAAGATGAACTGTGCTGGTGAGCTCAGGTTAGGCCCTGCAACACAACGGGAAGGACAGTGACTACACACTCATCATTCACTCCTTTGCATTCACAGTTATGGGCTTGTTGGGAAACTGGAATTCATTTTAGCTGTGTGCTGGCAAAGATGAACTGTGCTGGTGAATTTTGGAGTTGACTGTTGCTGAAGAAGGGTCATTAAACTGCTTAGAGAGACACCCAGCATAACCATTTGCACATGGCATTTTTCCGGCCCTGAAACCACTCACTGCAAATAAAGGGAAAAGGATAACCCAAGGCCTCTGAGACAGGCTGTGGCAGTGACAAGCTGTTTTCCTAAAGAGCCATGAGCTTGTTATCTAATTCTTAGTGTACCAAGGGACCGTATTTACATTGCAAAGTGTTCCTCAATTAGTAAGTATTTTTAAAGCTTTCCAAATAAACTTCAAAGCAGGAGTACTTCCTTTTGGTAGGGAAGGGCTGGCTGCGAGTGGGAGTTGTGAATGTCACTGGTTAATCACTTCCTTCCTGCCATGAGGACTCTCCCGAGGGTGGGCTACTCTCGCCTTTGTTTCCTACCTGAAAAGCCTCMTGAAATACAAGAAGGCTCTGTCCAGGGGGCTCACAGTGTATTCCTGAAGCAGGAACACTACAAGAGGCACAAGGTTTGGCTCCTTGGCACCCTGAGGAAGTGTGGTGCTTCTCAAGATAGAGCAACAACCAGATGTAAGGAAACACTCAGGGGCTCCTGTCCTGCCATCCCCACACCCACCACACTGCCCAGTGTCAGCTCAGATTGCAGGGCACATCCTGCTTTAACTGCACACACAGTGTCATTCAGAAACGTGTCTTTTGCAAATATGATTGACCCTTTGAATGTGACACACATGGGGGTGAATTCAAGAAAAGCAACAATGCATTGCAAATATTTGGGCCATTTCCTCTTGGCACATAATTGCTTGTTTTGTGACCTAAACCCCAGTATTCCTTTCAGTCCTTCACCTGGGTACAGATTACTTAAACAATTTCTACATGCTTTGATCCTTTCTGCAATGAAGGTGGATCAAGCAGATGTGACATAATTCCTGGTGCTGCCATCTGGAGCCATGCCTCATGTGACCTGCTCCTCGTAGGTGCTGTGGCACAYGTTATCAGCTCCATCTATTGCAGACATTGCACAGGTCCCTCCCTAGCACAGAGGATGCTTGAGAAATGCAGGATACCAGGCGTGCTAGCCCGTGTCATTGGCTCCTGGTGAGGAGGTGAGGTGAGGGATGTCCACCTCGCAGTACTTTTCCACTTGCTTTCCCACCCAGGAACTGGAACCAGGCTGTTGGGACACAGGTCACATGTACCTTGGAATCTCTCAGTAGTTCAGTGATGCTAACACTGAATTATTCTCAGCTATCAGAGGTCTCAAGTGTTTCTTTCTTACAGAAAGTACCTCCCATTTTCTAGGGAATAATTTGTATTAATAGTCACTCGAGCCTCTTTTCAGTCAGCAATACTTCATAGCTTTTTCCACGGTTGGGCAGCAACAAAACTCCAGAGCTGCCCATTTCCCACAGAACAGGAATCCTAAAGAACTTGAACTTGCTGTTTTGACAATGCAATTGTTTTGTTGCTACACTGTTAGTGTATTTAAATTTGACAATGGTGACAATACTTTTCTGTCAAAAGGCAGTAATGATGTATTGTATTTAAGATATGAGACAGTAATAAATRTAACTGTGAAAGCAAATTTCAACACAAAGAAATGAATGGAAATTACAGGTATCCTTTGGAGATATAGGACACAGCGAGGGGAGCAGTTCCTATGGAAAGGAGCCCTGAAGGGAAGAAAGAGGGAGAATATCCTGCACAAGAGCAAAATTTGGCTGATGAGCAGATGCAGCCAGCCTGGGTATCACTGGTGCTCAGGGCTGAGAACACCAAGGATGTCTGCAGGCCTGGGACAAGCTGCAYGCTTTCTGACCTGTGACCTACTGGAACAAGCTAGTCAGACTTTGATCCATTGCAAAAGAAAGCTGGAAAAGTGTATCACCACTGCAACAGCAAAGCTGAACTTGGAACTTCCCACACTGACCTTCATCTCCTGAAATCTTGCCCTTTCCAAGTCAGTATTTCCATTTGACCCCCTTCTGTAGTTCTACTATAAAAAACTTACAGTTACAGGGAAATTGCCCCATCTCCTGCCTWAGAAATGATGTGACATATAAGCAAAAGAACCTCCAAGCAGAGCATCTGACACAAACTTCACTAAGTGGCCTGTTCCTCAAAAATACCATTTCACATAAATATTTTCTCCTCTCATTTCCTGTGTGCTACTTGTTACATTACTTGTTTAAGTCAAACACTGTGTGGCAATTGCTAAGATATGGAAGCTGACTGTAACTGTCCCAGGAGCAATTGAAACTCCATGGATGACAAGGACAATTAAGTGAAAATGGAAATTGCTGATACAGCCAAGTGCAAACTGGTAAAACAATAAAAAGTCCTCTCCAGGTCTGGAAATGGCTCACTTGCCTTAGCTGGCCTTTAAACGTCTGGGAGAGAGCTGCACTGGAAGGGTTTTTTAAAGACCAGAGGGCACAGGTTTGGGCTAACGTGGCTGTCCATGACTCAGGGCCTCTGGGGTAATTGCTGCTACTGGCATCAGAAGAAAGCAAGGGTAGCAAGTTCACGTAGGATCAAGGCAGCTTCTAACTTAAAATGGGTGGGATGTCACCCAGCAGACTGGAGGAAGGCATCCAYTGCCCCTGGAATAATGCCTGCAAGCAAGTTCAGGGCAGATACCATCTTTAAAGTCACTCCTTTCCCTCTTGTCCCCAAGAGGTTAGGAGCTTCTTCTGTTGTCATCCCTGCTCCCAGTGACTTCCCTTCTCCCTTTTCCATGGAACAGCATTTTGTCGCCAGCACGACTCCTCCTCTTTAGCCTGTGCAGGCAGCATCAAACAAAGCTAGGGCACGTTGTGGCCTGTCCCTAGGAATGCCATCTGCAGCACAGGAGAGAGGSAGCAGAGGGAGGCACACAGGACTGACCTGGCTGCTGCAGGCAGGGAGCTGCWCAAGATAAAATGCACCTGTTTTATTGAAGGCATGTTTACATCAGGGATCAGATCCTGCCTCWCTCTGCTAAACCGTAAAGTGGATGGCTTATCTGGAGCAGCTCCTGTATGGGCTCGTCCAAACAGCAGCCGGGGAACATCAAAAGGTGCAGTGATCATCCACAGATAAGCAGCCAAGTGTCTGATCCTGAGCTACCCCCAGGCATGGCTCAGCAGCTTGTCTGCCCGTGATGAGCTCTCTCTGCAGCCTGCTCTGGTACCAGAGCCTCTTTCCATAATCACCGCTCCACCACATGGCAGAGAGCTAACTGACTGCCACTCAACAAGTTCTGATCTCAAAGAAAAGGAAAGCCTCAGTGTGAAGCCTGTGAGCAGAGAAGGGAATGGGAACACAGGACTGGGTCAGGGCTCGAGCAAGAGAGCCCAGGCTGTAGTGACCCAGCCACAGTGGGAAGTGTGTTTGCATCAGCCAGCGCTCAGTAATTATAGCAACAGATGACTCAAGATCAAAGTGTTTTTGCAAATGATGTGGCAAAGYAAATCGATGGAAATCTGAGCTTTTTAATCTTTGCATCTGTCTTTAATGCTGACTTCTGTCCGGCTTTAACCTGGCCCGGGATCAGATCTGGGCTCCCAGTGCTGCAGCGCTGGCTCAGGCAGCCCCCTGTGCAGCACTCAGCTCCCTGCAGGCTCCTGCCTCCAGCAGGGATGGATGGGGACAGCAGCCCCTGGGCTATGGGATCTGATAGCCAGAGTGCTTCTAGTGCAGGCCACCTTTGCTGTCCYGGTGAACAACAGAGCCAGGTGCCCAGTGCTCTGTGCTAACATGACAACATGACGGRGTGCTGCTGCTGCTGCTGCTTCAGGGGCTGCCCCTCCCATTTGAGCACCCCAGTAGGCAGCTGCTCCTCTGCTGGCTGCAGTGCTCCAGAGGCACATTCTGATTCAAATTCTCCTGCCCATGCCTGTCCATAAAGATAGATCCTAAAGAGGGCTGGACAGGAAGGCCTCTCGATTTAGCGTGACCCAGCACATGGAAAGGGTACCATTTGCCAACCCCTCTGAGYATATCCCAYGATCACCCTTCACCTAGGCTGGATKTGTCTTCTCATCTTCTTTCTGCCACATACGCTCCTATCAGCTCCTATGACGTGTTTATCCCGAATTTTGGAATTGATGAGTGCTCCATTGATGCCACACATGGTCTCTTGTGTGGTTGCACACTGGCTCCAGACATCTTTCCTGAATGGTTCCTGGCTAAGGGGGTTTGAGTCACAAGTGGCAGAGTGTGGACAGAAGGCCAGGGTGGCTATGGGTTAGGTGAAGAGAACAAATCCTGACTTTCAAAGAGTTCCTCAGGTGTGTCTGAGACAGTCTTGCTCTCTCTTGGTGATCTCTGTTGCTTTAATTTGCTGTTTTCATTCCCCAGGCATTGTCCCCTGCACAGTTATCACATGGCAAGGAGGCTCACGTTGGATAAARTTTCAGGCTTGCCTCCTGGGTCATCTAAATATGGGATTTCCCAAGTCCCATCAATCATCCGGGTTTTTCCTTGCTTATGCTGAGATGCTGTGCTGCTCCTACCTGCTTGTTWCCCAATAGAGCACAGAGGCTTAATTATTGGGTTGCAAAGTTCCCAAGGGTCTTATGAACACTGACTTGGAAAAGCAAAGTAGCATGATGTACTAAACCATGATAAGTTGTTATCCAAAAATTTGTTGTAATCCAGGRGAAGTCTGCCCCCTAAACCAGCTACCCAAGCCACATGTGCTCTCATGGCTAATCATCAAAGTCTACAAGATGAACAGGCAATTCTTTATCATTTTGGG